GGCCCTGGAGTGGAACTAGCATGGCCGGAAGGAGGGATCTCTGTCATGTAGTGAACCCTCCTTCCCTGGTAATGGCTAGCCCTGAAGTTCCCATCGTACCTGCCCCTCCCCATATTGATCGTAATGCTCCGGCCCACCCCCGCAACCGTAGACCCCATAGCCCCTCCCACAGTCTCCGCACCATCCAGCAGGTGATTTTTATCACTCATTCTGGGATGGGAGGTAGGCCTGGGAGAAGAAGAAGAAATGATAATAAAACCATCAGCAGGAAGTTGAGTGAATTCCTTTTCAATGAAGATCTTCAAACTCAGGAAGAATAACTTTCTGTTAGAGATGCTTTAGCTATGAACTTCATGCAAGATATAGGTGGGAGATCAGATAGCCCCCAAAGTGTCTTTCAACTTTAAGATTCTAATATTTTCCTCCAGAATACCAATGTAATAGCTACAGTAGTCAATTACTTGGAACACTTACTGGCTGAGGAATGCAAAGAGGTATCTCATTACAATCAATGTGGTTTTAGGCAATGTAAGCAGGACTTTTCGGATGTGCAGAGCTCTCTCTTGCAGGTTGTCCATTGCTAAAGAAAAAGAGAAGAGTTACATAAAATAACAGAATAATAGACCATATGATAAAACCAGATAACTTGGTCACACTTTAGTTCTGGTTGACATTTTCACAGGTATAAGAATAATCTGATATTTAAACATTTTTATGTTTGAACGTGTGCAAATCTTATTTTATTACATGCAGAGGCATTGAGAATTCACTGCATAGCAGAAGTGTTATGGATATGGGTGGAGTTTTTTTGCATGTTAGCAATGTGATTATGAAGGTGTAAAAAAAAAAAAAACTTTCCCCAGATAATCCATTTCATCCAAGGTCCTCTTCAACTGCCATTCCATCACCTAAGAATGGGAGATTGGAAATTGGACGAAAATTGTCCAGGCAGGTGGGATCCAATGATGTTTTTTTAAAAGGAGGGCATGAACCAGGGCTTGCTTAAAAGCATCCTAAAATGTTCCCAACTCTACTAATGCATTAATCACTGTCTGGACCCATCCACTAGTCACTATCCTGGAAGCTTTCACCATCCAGGAGGGACAAGGATCTAACTGACAGCATCAAGGGCCCTGTCCACTTCATCAGGGCCAATCAGATCAAACTGTTCCCAGATAACAGGGCAAGACCTCTCCCTGGGCATTTCACACGCATAGGGTCCAATGAATGGAGCGACTTTGTCTATGAGGTGCTGAACTCTGCCTGGCCAGACCCTAACTTTAAAGGGAATTCAACAAATTTAACTGGTGCAAGGCAGAATGTGGTTGCCCCAATGATACTGTTGAGATTGATTAACGGGATTTACACAATACCAACTGCACCCAGCCCACTTTAATGTGACAATTTAAATTTTAAAACTAAACTTTGGAACCAGGTTATATGATGTAATCCCTACCTCCTTATCAGCCTACCTGTAGTTTAAGGAGATCAACCAAAAATTCCTGTTGCATATCTGCTTGCCGAAAGCAATTAGAATTATAGGCACAAGGAAAGAACTTTTGCAATGGCTCCTACATTATAAGAATGCATTGCCAGGAATGCCTGACATATGCTTTTTGAAAAACATCAAAGAACCATTTGTTTTTGGTGGCTTTTCTTGAATTTTCATTGGATTGCCCAATGCATTATATGATTTTTGATGGAATTTGGGGAGTGGGGATATTTTTGTTCTACTCAGCACCATTATTTTCATTGCTATTTAACTCTGCAGTATCTTTTATTTATTTTGGAGAGCTACATGCTTCTGCTCTTACCCTTAATGGTAGTCTAAAAGTATTTTTAAAATAGAAAAATAAATCTAAAATGCAGAATATGGTTGAACGATATCATCTGAATGTAACCCCTCCTTCACTCCTTCCCTTATGGGCAGCTGTCCTCCTTCACCAGGCTTCACACCCAAGCAGAATGCTTATTTTTACATTTGTTTATTATTAATTTTAGGGAACAAGCTGCAATGTCTCATGTGGTCATCGCAAGAATAACTTTTACTTCCAAAAATGTTTTGGGACTCTGTATATGCTGTAGAAGTAGGTTTTTTAAAGGAAAAGCTGATTAAGGATTACAGCCTATTACTTTCTATGCAAATATGTCAACCAGAACAGGAGATGGGGAAGACAGAGATAAAAATGGACCACTAGTCCCAATTTGCTGTTAATGAGGCAATGCAATCAGAGGTGGTATTCAGTCGGTTTGGAGCGGTTCAGTCGAACTAGTAGCTCTGACGATCAGATGGCCCCGCCCACCCACCCATGCCCTATCCTGCCCTTTATTTCCTGCTTTCTCATCTCAATCTCAAGGCACAGCTGATTCCCCCTCCCTTGCTCTTCTACTTGCTGACTTTGAAGGTAAGCAGCTGAGCTTCTAAATGCTCCATTTTCAGTGCAAGAACTTTAGCAGCAGCATCCCACCACTGAAGCAGAACCAGCAGCATCCCACCACTGAAGCAATCACTTTTAAATTCTTACCATGCAGAATGTTAAAAGTTGCTTAAAGTATGAAATGCTACATAATTTAAAACCAAAGAACTCTCTTCAATATTACACCCAATTTTTATATCAAAAAGGCTCTCTTGAAAATTTGCTTGGCCCTCTTTAAGGTACTATAATGAGATAAGAAAATAATCTTGAGAAACAGGAAGAGCCGCAATCCAGAAAACAGTCAGAAGAGAAATCTGAATCCAAAATAGGAAGGTAATTTAAGGAAGTCTCTCTGACTCAACCCTCCTCACACTTTGTCCTTATTCAGTGACTACAATTCATTTGTTAAATCAGAAACAAAATGGTTGCTAACAAATATGAGAGGAGGAGTTGGAGGGAGGGAGAGAGGGAGGAGAGGGAGATTCTGCCAAGAACACAGACTATTGCCATTTTTTAGGTAAAGTTCTCATAAAAGCTACATCAGTGTTAGTTTCCTTCTGGCATGCCCTGTTGTTAGGGGCACTCATATGGATATTAAATGTATATGTTGGTCAGAAAAGGATTTTTTTTAAAATACTGCATTTGCAAATGGTCAGTAAAGGAAGCCATTAAACAGTGAGTGATTATAGTTGTCTTGAAAATAAAGACAGAAAGAGGAGAGGCACTTTCAGATTTGCAAGATTCTGATACAATAATGAAAGTAGTATTATAACTTTGAACTCCTGCCCTGGACTACATTGGAGGGCTGACAGTTGCCATTTTCTCTTTAGCCAATTTCATCAATTCATTTAAAGCCAACTATAAAAATTAGCCACAGTTGGTGCTACATCATCTTACACTACACTATAAGTCTGTTTCTAGACTGATTTTAAAGGACTATGATCAAATTGGTAGATATGAACATCTTTGGATTAGTATTTTGACAGAAAGTTTTGAGAATCTGCAATCTTTTTGTGAAATCAAGAGACTATTATTAATAAATCATCTTCATCTATACAGATGAATATGGATATGGAAAAATATTCAAATCTACAATTTCATTTGAATTACAGTTAAAATGCATTAATATTATTCTCATGTGGGACAAATTACATGTCTATGCTTTATGTTCTGCTTTTATGTATTATAATCTCCCTCACTGCTTTATTGATTGTTTGTTTTATTTTTTAAAAAGGCACACTGAGATAGGAGAAAGCATTCTAGAATGTAAGGAGTGGAGGCAAAGAACAACCTCATAATTTTGCTTTTGATAATTGGACATTTTTCTCTTCAAATTTCAGAATGGAAATACTGAGAATTATAGTTTTAGAATGCTTTGTGTGTGAAAATGTACAGAACGTTTAATTATATTCTGGCTTAAGAGAACAGGACATGAAAATCTGAAGCTGGTCAAGTGTGGAAGTACTGAATACTATCCATTGTAGCAATTACATCAGATAGTCTATTACACTTAGTTTCTTAAGGTGGGTGTTTCAAAAGAAATCTTTAGCTTAATATTCCACAGGCAGATTAGCATTCCTGAATGATGACAGAAAGAGCTATGTCTACAGCGATATAATGGGAAAAAAGTGGGCAGCACAAAGCCTTGGCTCTGGAAATTCAGAATTATTTGGCAGCAAGCTGCTCTTTTCATCTAACAGAGTTAAACTGTATAGACTCATTTGTTGTGAAAATGAAACTGCAGATCTTTTTAAGAGGAGCTCTCCTATATCTTACTTCAAAGACTTTTTCCAGCATGGTCCTTCTTATGCTCTGACAATGAATTCATTGTTTGCTATAGAAGTGAGTCAGCACCAAGACCTTCACTGTAAACCTATCAGTCCCAGGGAAAGTATTAATACCCTTGAAATGATGAAGTGTAAGATATTATCTTAATTTGTTTCCTATATGCTGCAAAAAAATACTATGAGGATTGTCTAATATCTTTAAGGAATATGCTGACCAACAGACAGCTGTTAGCTGTCTTTCTGTTTCTTAAATAAATAATTAAGTAAAGGATGAAATCCATATTGATCCTACATTCCTTCAAATGATAAAGACAAAAAAAGGACAAAACAATTCCTTAAAAGGCTCCTTTTAAAGTAAAAATGTTCTGCATTGGATTATTTTTAGTTTACTAATTTACATAGGCCATCACTTTTCTTTAGCATAATCAAATGAAATGACATTGGGAAGGATAAACTAATAATATAGTGGGATCAAACCCTCTAATAGGCAAATGTTTCAACATTTTTTTAAAAAAGCCTTTGTTTAAAAAGAGAGACAGATATTTATGTCTTAAAATCTATTGCCTTACTCTTATTCTGTCAGCATTAGCCTTAAAAGCTATAATGATCACATTAGAGTCTACTGGGGCAGCACACAGAATCACCCTTTTAATCAGTTAATCAAAATGGAAGTCCCAGATTAACAGCAATGTGTGGTGGGATTCAGATGAACATTGAGAGAAATATGAATTGTTCCACTAGCTTACGACCCAGTGGGAGGCAAACAGTAATCTTTTATTCTGATTTTGTAGATTTACTATCTCAGAAGCAAACTGACATGTTTCAGATCTCTTAGTCTCCTGTGAGATACTGTCAGGATTAAGGAATGTTCTGAGAAGCCAGTGATATGGTTTCTAAAAGATAGCATTAAGTCCAAAAAATACCAGATTGAAGGAAAGATCCTCAGCAGAGATGAATAGGATGGTAACATACCACAGAGTAGAGATTAGGTATAATCACTATTTCATGAGAAAATGAGCAGGGGAAGAAAATAATTTCTACTTCAAATATTCAAAGTTCTTAATTTGTTTGCCTCTATTTATAGGTCAGTATTAATATACACAGACACACATATACATTATTTCCTTGCAATGTTGCTAACTGGCTTGTGCATTTTTGTGCTACTTACTGACACAGGCAATCAGGTCATGAAAGATTTCCTTGGGGAAGAGGGGATGTTCTAGCCCACGAAAATAGAGCTTTAGGACACCCGCTATTGAATCCATATCATGGTCATTTTGGTCTCCAGCCAGTGGATCCTCCCCTGGTTACCACAAAACAAAGACAATAACAACAGAGTAAATAGGGTATTTGCACATTTAAAAAAACAAACAAACTGCAAGACATGGGAGGAAGGAAAATTAAATAAGATTTTGTTTTGAAAATGAAAACAGACTTTTGACTCAAAAATAAATCTAGTTAAAAAATTATTTCCCATTCTTAAAAGTGGCATCCAGCATAAGGCTATCACTACTGTAGCACTATTATTATTCTTCTCATTTTCTCTACTACCCTCTATCATAATCATTACTATGATTATTACCCTATTGCTTTGCTTATACACTGAGAGCTTCTGCACTGTAGAAAAATTCCTTGTATGTCTAATCACACTTCGCCAAAAAAAGCTTTTCTATTCTATGCTATTCTGTTCTGTCCTGACCTGTCCTATTCTATTCTCTTAGCAACATAGTTCAAGCTAGTAGATGTTATGGAGCTACAATACAGGCAATTCACACTGTGATTAAGGGGATACATACTGCAATAGAAAGGCTGATTTGGTGCAAAGGGGTTTAAAATGGAACATGTGAAAGTTCTATTTTGGGATGCTCTGGTTTCAGAATGTTTGCAAAAATGTCAAATGAACAATGTCAATAACCAGTCATGCCTGAAAAGCAGGAGCACATACTTCTTTGACATATTGGAATCCATCTATTGCTATCATGAGAGCTAAAGAAAGAATTGCTGTTAAAACCTCACTATTGGAAATAATTAATTTTCTTAATGTAACTGAAACCATTGCAACTCAGCTCTATCATAATAGTTCACAGGATAATTAATTAGAGAATTTTCCTCAATATTCTCATCAAGAGCCTTTTGATAGAACAAGAAATGTTATCAGCATTTACTGTTTTAGTACTGCATGTGCTTTGACAAGACCATGAGAAATGGATGTAGAAAAGTTAGTGTTTTGTACTGTACTGACATCAAAGAAAGGTGATCTGGAATTTAGAGTAATCCTTCACTGAAAGATCAGACAGAAGAAGAATTGCTTCCATGACTGCATTGTCGGTAAATATATGATAGGTCTTCCATTTTAAAAGTAAACAATTTACCTTTCTTTTAGTTAAATATAATATTTACATAAAAATGCTAGAACGATTTGATGTGTCTCTTAGAATCTTGAGAACCTATATATACACTTTCAGCTCTTGCTGAACTCAATGGTTCTTTTCCTTGGGTATGTTGATTAGGGATGTTAAGGGTGTAAGGTACCAACATCCCTTGTTCTCTAAAGCAGTGTTTTTCAACCACTGTGCTGTGGCACACTAGTGTGCCGTGACATAGTGTAAGGTGTGCCGTGGGAAAATACTTCTCTTAGTAGTCAATATAGGCACAGAGTTAAATTTTTTTAACATTTTCTAATGGTGGTGTGCCTCGTGATTTTTTTCATGAAAAAAGTGTGCCTTTGCACAAAAAAGGTTGAAAAACACTGCTCTAAAGTTCAGTATTTATTCTTTGCATACATTTTACCTTCTGTCTCACAGACAAAAATGCTCCATCTTTCCATGACAATATTTATTAAGGAAAATCTCAAATTCAATTAATTAAATTATTTATATATCATCCAATTTACAAAATAGGCAGCCTACAAATGATTAAAAACAAAATAAGGTAAACAATATTTATAAAAGAGCCACAACATCATAGTGTAAATCAATACGAACAGAGACCAAAAGCACAGATTATTCAAAATCATAAACCGTTTTTTTCAAACAGCTTCATTCATAATTCTCCTCTCCTGAAACCATTTGTGTTTAAAGAAAAGCACAACCATGTACTGAATGGTTTTCTTTTCATTGTAGGATGCAATATGAGAATTTTCTATGAGAGTTTTTGGGGACAAAATATGTGAGGAAACCTATGTCAGATTTGAAGAGTTCTCCCTTTAACCACTTCCATTGAACTTTCCCCTCATGAACTTCCTGCTGTCACTATCCCATTTACTTATGAAATTGTCATAACTTAAAACAATTTAAAATAATTTATAAGGCCTTTTAGAAATTCCATACACCTTCAGTCTGAAATGTTTACATAGTGAGGTGACAAGAAACAGAAACCTAAGAGATTTAAATGCCAAAGATTATTGAGCATTGGGGAGTGCGAGAGACAAGGATACGGAGAACATACTCATTACAGCAGCATGAGAACCATGGAAAAAAAGATCTTGTCCTCATTTGCAACTTAGCATCTCTTAAATCCTGAAGCACCAAAGCAAATGCAGAGGCAATCATAACTGCTCTTACCTCTCTCAAATGCATTTTTTATATCATTCACTTCAACCTGAGATCCAGATACCCTGAATATTCCTTCATGCTGAAGTCCTGGGAAAAAAATAGGAACAATCCATGAAAACTGAAGGAACTACACAAATGATACCCTTCCATCTTTTTTTGGTAGAGGAAGCTATGACACATTCACCAATTACAGCATTCAATGATTTTGTACTTTAAATAAATTGAAACAAAATGTCTTCCAGAATAGATTTAGAGAATTGTTATATATCTGTTGTACACAAATGCCACATATATGTATATGTGTATATTTGCATATATGTATGTTGGTATGTGAACACAATCACACACTAAATACATACATATATACTGAATAATTTTTTAATCACTTCCAAATTTGAAACAATTGACATCTTTTTACATCAACTAAACCATAGTGAGTAATAAATCCAGTCCAAAAACATTCCTAGGATCTTATAATTCCTATCCCTGTTTTAGACAGCGTGGGTCCTCAACATCTATGAGGGTCTCCATCAAGCATGTCAAGGTTTGTCCCGAAAGTGCTTTTTCAAATAGCAACTGGATTTTGTTTTTCCTTGAAGATGTTTTGCTTCTTGTCCAAGAAACTTCTTCCGTTCTTACTGAATGGTAGAGAATGGAAAGATTTACATTCCTTGCAGTCATCTAGTCATTAGCACTCTTTCTGAAAGTCATTGAGGCCACTTGGAGGTTTATCTGTGCCTCACCTGAATAGTGCAAATGGATGTGGAACATTCTTGGAACTGCTGAAAGGACTCTGTAGTAAACAGGAGATAGGCAGGGTCATATCCCTCACCTTCTGTTGAGAGAGGGCTGTTCAATCTTAATGTAAATGGCCTCTTTGACCCATCTTTCAAACCAGAACTCTCTGTCCAGAATATGGACTTTGCTATCTCCAAAAGAGTGAGCTTTGTCTTTCAAATCCTATCCTGATGAGTTTGTTCTCCTCTGTTGTGCCATATGTTTGGTGGTTGTTTTGTTTCTCCACGGTACAGATCCATACATGTCTCACTGCACAGTACTGCATATATGTGTGTCCTCAACATGTAGCACCTGTCTCTTTATACACATGCCTCAGTTTTTAGATCTGTCAGAGATTGTTATTTGTAACTAATTATGAAGATTTGCACATTACATGTAGATCCAAGATAAATAATTTGGTTTTCTGATTGTGGTGACCTATGTCAAGGCCAAGCCTGTACCAATGTTTATTTGCTTAGAGTGCAATTCATCTAAGGCTTGTGGTTTCTGTGACAATCTAGCCTCCATATAGCTTTTTCTAACAGTTGCTTTTCTTGCTTGCTTTTTCTCCCTCCCCCCCATTGATTGAATCCTGTTAGAGATCTATTATTATAAGGTGGGTTTAAAATAAACAATAAATGTTGGTGTTCAGTTGTATATGGGATATTGACCCAAATTGTAGTGCATAGCATGATTAAATCATTATACTAATTACAAAATTGCTTGAATTTAGTACTCAATCCCTGGTGGAGGCTTTCAGGCTAGATTAATCAGGAGACATTTGAAAGTAAATCAGTCAAATCTTCTTTTAGACAGTAGTGTGTGTGTTTGTGTGTGTGTGTGTGTTTGTGTGTGTGTTGGATATATGCAATCCAATTTCTAGAGATTGAAATACATGGTATATTATTTGGTCTATTATACATGATTTAGATCTAAAATGTTTGATTTTTTAAAATGAAAGAATCCTTTGATGTAAAATAGAGAACTATTTATAGAATGAATACTCTGGACATAGAAAAATATAAGTCCTCCCATAAAAGGTTTTTCATAATAGAAGTTGTACTTCTTCTATGGATAGAATGGTATGCTTGTATTGGCTTAGAAGGAAATTAGAACAAAAATCGCTACATAAAATGTACAGCTTTGATCTGAGGCCATTTATTTTAACATTGGATTATCTCTGACTTTATTATATTTCTCTTTTCCTCCACTGTTTTTCAATTATGTGAAAGGATACCTTATTTCCTGTGAATTAGTGTTTGTTCCATGCATCATTTAACTTGTGACAGCCTACAGATTTAAACAAACAGTTCTTTATTATGTAGATAAATGCATACTTCCCACTCTGATTGGAGCAAGTATATGCGTGGGTAGTGCCTGATGAAACTTTAAAATTGGAAGGAGTTTCTTATATGTCATTAAGTGACAAAGAGGCATTTCTTTCACAGTAACTTATTACTTCTTGATTATTACAAATTACTTTTGATATAAGAACATTGAAAAAAATTTTGATACAAAATTGAAATATGTTGGCAAAACACAACATAATCAAGCATGTTTCTTTGAACAGAATAGAACAGAACAGAACAACAGAGTTGGAAGGGATCTTAGAGATCTACTAGTCCAACCGCCTGCTTAGGCAGGAAACCCTATTCTGTTTCAAACAAATAGTTGTCCAATCTCCTCTTAAAAACGTCCTGTGTTGGAGCATTCACAACTTCTGGAAGCAAGTTGTTCCGCTGATTAGTATAGTATAGACTTTATTGTAACAAAATAATTGTATTAATTGTTCTAACTGTCAAGAAATTTCTTCTTAGTTCTAGATTGCTTCTTTCCTTAATTAGTTTTCATCTATTGCTTCTTGTTCTGCTTTCAGATGTTTTGGAGAATAGCTTGACTCCCACTTCTTTGTGGAAACCCCTGAGATATTGTAACACTGCTATCAAGTCTCCCCTACCCCTTCTTTTCATTAAACATACCCAACATACCCAATTCCAGTAACTGTTCTTTATATGTTTTAGTCTCCAGTTCTCTAATCATCTTTGTTGCTTTTCTCTGTACTCTTTCAAGAGTCTCCACATCTTTTTTACATCATGGTGACCAAAACTGGATGCGATGTTCCAAGTGTGGTCTTACTAAGGCATTATAGAATGGTATTATCACTTCCTGTGATCTTGATTCTATTCAGCTGTTAATGCAACCTAAGACTGTTGGCTTTTTTGGCAACTGCAGCACACTGCTGGCTCATATTTAAATGATTGTCCACTAGGACTCCAATGTTTGATTTTTACCATGTTCTTCCACTGTAGGTGGCTAGCAAAACCATAAAAACAAACATTTACTGATTAATATGCTGCATAGTAGAAAAGTGCAGATAAAAAAAGCCAAGAATAACCATTCTGTCTAATTAGGAGCATTTTTATCAGCCAGTAAAAGCTAAAGAAGGGAAAGGCCCAGGCGTAACCACTGCAAACTGCATTTTTGAGCTGCATTTGGCAGAGATGTTAAGTCAAAAAAATCTTAAAACTTAACAGAGGAAGTCACGAATAAAAAAGTGACAACACTGCACACTGTCTCTGTTTCAGACATTTGTTTATAAATACCTTAAAACTGTGTCACAATCCTCAACAATAAAGTAAAACCCTGTGATTTGGTTTCCTTTTCACACTTACCATGTCTGCTAATGAAACGTATACAGCTTTCTACCACCAAAGGAATTGCATGGCTGGAATCCTAAATGACAGAATATGATGAGAAAGAAAGAGAGAGAGAGAGAGAGACAGTGAGAGAGGGGGAGAGAGAAAGAATTTCTGAACTTTATATACTTTGAAATAGTCTACCAAGAGATATCTATTTCCAAAAGAAATTATTCAATAAATACACATACTGGGAAGCTGGGAATAGACTATGTATATACGGTCAATGATGTTAATGACTATTAACACCCCAAAGAATAGTTTTATAGGAAAAAAACCCTGCATTATAGGTAAAGGTTCCCTTCTCACATATGTGGTAGTCGTTCCCAACTCTAGGGGGCAGTGCTCATCTCCGTTTCAAAGCCAAAGCTGTCCGAAGACGTCTCTGTAGTCATGTGGCTGATATGACTAAATGCCCTAGGCGCATGGAACACTTACCTTCCCACCAAAGGTAATTCCTATTTTTCTACTTGTATGCTTTCAAACTGCTAGGTTGGCAAAAGCTGGGACAAGTAACAGGAGTTCACTCTGTTAGGCAACGCTAGGGATTCAAACTGCCAAACTGTCGAACTTTCTGATTGACAACCTCAGCGTCTTAGCCACTGAGCCACCGTGTCCCTGTTTAGTGCAATATACTACTAAATAAAATTAAGGCAGAATTTTAAGGTTTTTTTCCTTAAGAAATTTTTTGTGAGGATAACCATTGGGATATTTAAATACATATTATTTCTATTTCAGGATATAGTCAGCTCCTTTAATAGTTAGCTCTTTGTTCATGATCCCAAGATCTTTCAATGTATCATTATACCTTTTGGCTTATAGATCTGGCATCATCAACCAAGGAAAGATATGTCTCAATGCCAGGTTTCTCTCCCCCCACCCCCTTATTTTTAGTCTGCTTAGTCTGATAGAGAATATAGAATCTTCATATTGAAACAGAGCTCTCCTATGTTTTTCTCAAACAGATAGATATTTTGCTATTTTAAAATGAATTGCTAGTACTGTTGTTAGCAAAAAAGACAAATAGGTGCTTATCATTACTTATATTACAGAATAGAAAAATAGAAAATTCTGGACAAATTAAATGAAGATTTCTATATGTTTTACTGTTAAGCTAATAATTAAATTACAACAAACTACAAGTCGAGCCTCAAATCAAAGCTGTTCTTGAAGAAGAAAAAAAGAAACCCCAATTTCTCACTTTACCGTGAACATATGTTATAGCTTCTAGGACTCTATAAAGCATGCCGAGAGGTCTTTTGCAAAGCATGACAGCATGCAGCATTAAAGCTGTTCCTCCTCTGGAAGATCAGCATTGCTGCTTTGAATATTGCCCTTGGTGGTTTGTGTGCGTGCATGTGTGTGTACAGATAACACTTCTGTTGTGACCATCCGTGAAGCAAAGCAGCTGTATATGTGCACACAGGGACAAAGAATCAGAACAGCTTCCTTTAACCCTTCAAACAAGGGATATTTTGCTCTAATAAGCATTGTAAACCAGCTCTTCTGAATGCAATTTTACAGCCTGGTAGCTTTTCCAATAGTATGTTAAAAATATGCATGCCATTAGTCATCAGATAGGGACAAAAAGACACTGGAATTTATCTTATGGCCACAGCACATTTTCCTCCCGCCTCCCTACACTCTCACACACACACTCACACGTGTGCACGTGTGCGCGCACACACACACACACATTCCTACCTAACAAACCAGAAAATAATGCAAGACGTGCTGACAGTAGTGCTGAAACACACAATTACAGTGAAATGGAGCAGTTAAATTGTGAGTCATAAAGGTGAACCAAAGTGGAAAAGAAAAAATCTGCTCAGGTAAGTTCCAGCCATTAGAAGGCAACACCAAGTTAAAAAATTCAAAGTAGGAACAGGTAAGGGACCCATTCACAGACACATTTATTTATTCTGGACAAATAAAAAAAAATCAACTATAGCACTGCAGATAAATGATCAGGGATGAAATTCAACAGGTTCTGGAGAACCAGAAGTGGAAATTTTGAGTAGTCTGGAGAACCGGCTAATACTCCATTCCCACCCCACTCTGTAGATTTTGCAGTATCCTTCCCCTGCCACGCCCACCAAGCCACACCCACAGAACGGTAGTAAAAAAATTGAATTTCACCACTGTAAATGATAGCCTCAAACGAAGTTCAGCAAATTCTAGCCTCAAAATGAATCAACAGATAATTCGCAGGGACCTTTAGTTTGCCTGAGTATTCACCTCCCACCAGGTCCTCTAAGATTCAATGTTATATGCAGAGCAACAACTGAACATAGGATGGTCCTTTTCACATACTATGCAATTCAGTTGATATATGACTTCAAACTGGCAATTCACTCTAAATTGTTCCCTAGTCATCCAAAAGGTAAGTGATCTTCATTCAAAAATGCCTGGTCAACAATAAAGCTTGGAGAACAGGAGGAGGCAGAGAAAATGGCACGAAATACAGATTCTGAGCTATTCTCCACCAAGTGATATTGGTGATCCTGATGAAACCTTATCTCAAAACAGGTTTCAATAGTGTTGCTAATAATGTGTGAGATAATTTCTAACATAGGGTAAGCATTGGTTGATTTCTCAGGAATCTAGTATCAGGTTATGCCTCGTCCTCACAAATGTGCTTAGGCAGTATCAGAGGAAGAGGCAAATGTCCCTTTCACCTTCTATGTAGCAGCTTTTTTGTTTATAAATATTAGAGAAGGGATTATTGATCTGCAAACTTCACTGGGTATGTTTGACTTAGCTGCAAGGTATAAATGCTTTAAATAAATGAGCAATATAAAGAATCTTTTGATATATTCTGATAGTACTATATATTCTATTAAATGTTAAAATAAATTTGGTTTTGGTTTTTTTTCTTCATCTTACTCTCCAACTAAGCACAATATATGATGATTTTTATATATTTCTCTTTTAAGTTTTGCACATCCATTTTCTTTGTTTTTCTCAAACATTTTCAATGATTATCTTATCTTCTGCTATAAAATCAGAGAAACATAAAGTTGGAAGGTACTATAGAGATAATTTAATTCAGCCGCTATGCAATGTAGGAACAATTATGTTTTTTTTGCTTCAAGCACTCTAGTAAAGGAGAATTTGTCATAACATATGGCAGCCTGTTCTACTGTTGATAGCTCAGTCAGCAAACGTCTTATAGTTTTAACTCAATGTTTCTGACCTATCCTCCATGGTAATGGAAAATAAATAATCTTCTGTGTGACAACCCATCAAAATTTGAAGACTGCTTTCATATTTCACCTTAGTTGTCCTTCTTATAAGATCCTTGTTCTTTAACTACTCTGGGTTTGGTTTCCTTCACTATCTTGGTTGTGCTCTGCTGAACTTACTCGAATTGGTCATCATTCTTTTAGAGATGCAATGGCCAGAACCACAGAGAATATTTCATATGGGGTCTGGCCCAGGCAAAGAAGAATTACTAATTAACAGTTGCTTTCCATGTTCTAGACTGTCTGCTCCTTTTAAAGCAGCCCACAAAATATTGCTGCAAAAAAGACCAGTCCAGAAACAACTTACAGCAAAAGCGGACAACTATAGAGTGATTTGATTGTCATTTAAATAAATTTCTTACCTGCTTTCTTATAGTAGAACTGCGTCTGCTGTTGATCCAAGAATTCACATGAACCATTATCAACAGATGAGGGAGAATAGGAAGAGAAAACAAAAACATGTTTCAAATAAATCATTTACAATCAAAGTATCAGTTTATTTGAAATATAAATAGCTCATCAGTGAGTAGCGGTACAGAAGAATCAAAGACAAGAAATATTTCCATTAATTTACTTCCAAGTTTTAAAATCTAATTTAAAATAAAAGTACTATAATGGTCAAACAGGTACAGCAGGGCTTATTGCTAACAGAAGGCTATATTTAACCTTTTACTTCCAATCTTATAGAGCATCACTATAAAGGCCCTTCTTTCTGCAATGTCATTTAGAAATTATTTAAAGGCAGCACCATGCTAAGAAAGGCGTGCTCTGCTGGGTAATTTACAGCCACACTGGTCAGGAAAATTCAAATTATTTTCTCTAAAATGAATCCAAACTTAATGACACTTTATTAAAACATGTCTTCAATAAAAGTAGTAGGATTGAAATAACAAGATCAAATACAAACCATCTCATAAATATGTTTGTGATTTCTTATATATTACTAGGAGACTCAGAAAGAGTAGAATGGCCATTAAAACATTTGCTTAGGTGTTCTCATGTGGAACACCTTGTCACTCATTTTAAATATATTGGAGTATCATCATATCTGCTGAGAATGTCACTTGAGGAAGAGGATTAATGGGTTTCTCTGATCACAGTTTTCAATGACCAAGGAATGTAGTGATATTTGAAGTTAGCTAGAAGATTTATGCAGTGTATCTATGGTAGCAGCTAACCTAATGATATTTCTCAGGAGTCCTTAAGACTCACAGAAGTTTAGTTTGTCTTTATAATTTATCTACAGATCCAAGGCACTTCAATTTAATCACTTGGATGGCTCTCCTGAGGACCTGTGGAACTACACTTGAACTGATGTGATTGAAATCTTTCCTATGGGAAAACAGAGTTCTCTCTAGGCTGACTTATGACTTCTAAAATAACTTTTGAAGGAAAAAAAATTGGAGTACATGACACACTCACTCCATACAAGTTTTTGGATGCGATAGCAGTTAATAATATTTTGGTGTATATAGAAATTCTAATTTCAGAATAGTTTTTCCATCACTACTTAGCTGCAGTACACATCTACAGATAATATAGAGCAGGAGTCCCCAACCCTTGGTCTGTGGATTGAAATCAGCCCACGGCATGCCAGAAACCGGGCCACGCAAAAAATAATAATAATTAAAAAAAATGGAAGCTCCATCCACAGGATGCAGGCAGCACATGAATACATTGCTTTGGTCTTAACTTCCTGTGTGAGCCTGGGTTGCTTTAAATATCATTGTCTAGTGCAATGTCAATCTCAAGGCCCGGGGCCAGATCCGGCCCTCAGGGTGCTTAGATTTGGCCCCCAGGGCCACCCTGGAAACAGCGAAGGCCTGGCCCATGGTGCCTGTGCCAGTGAAAATAGAATTCCGGTTGCAGGAGGTTATCGCAGCTGAAAACGGAATGGGGAGCCTGTTTTCTCTAGCAGAGCACTCGAGCTATCACAGGCGCCCCTGGCATGAGTGATGTCGAACTGGCACGCCCATTCTAGCTACACCCACCCCTCTCCCCTGAGGTCAAACATAATCCTGATGGGGGTCTCAATGAAATAGAGTTTGACACCCCTGGTTTAGTGGAAAGTGGGAACTCAGTCAGAATAACAAACACAGAGAACATGAAGGATCCTGTTCTACCAACACAATTCAGAATATTGATCCATCTAGCTTAGAATGGTCTATGCTGACTGGAAGAAGCCATCTATTCATATTCAACCAGATATTGAATCAACTGTCCTTAAAATAAAGCAATTTTCCTATAGCTGCTGGAAATAAAGGTTAATGGGAAAAAATCCTATTTAATTCAACTCCTTGCCAGAACAGATGGATGATGAATTTGAAAGAAAAGCAACCTTCTTGTGCTTAAGAAACATACTTTTAATGTTGTGGTATTTTGAAAAAAATAATCAAGAATTAAGAAAAAATCCAGATGCTTCCTCTGTTGTTGTTCTGTATTATGCTGTTTTTATATGTGTTTTCCTACTCTTCTTTGTTTTTAAATGTTTTGATAATTGTAAGAAGTTGTTGGTGTTGAGTGGTACATCAATAATAATAATAATAATAATAATAATAATAATAATAATAATAATAATAAT